TCAGCAAAACAATGTTCTGTAATAAACTCAACCCTTTTTTAAAAAATTCTGATTTGGGATACAAGTGAGGTATCTGGTAAACTAAACTTGCTTATGGAGTCGGATTCAGTCTCTGTTGAAGCTGGGGTATTGAATAAAAAGGTCTCATCAGCACCAAGATTGGTGGCACGACTTGAAGGCAGACTAAAAAACGTTAAAAGAAAAATCTTTATCACAATGATGATGTCTGATTAAATTTTCACCACTTCTTGTTTCACCGAGTCATACAGCATGGAAACAGACCCTTTGGTCCAATGTTGCCTCTCAGGTCCCTTAAAACTTTCCCCTCTAGTTCTGGGCTCCCCTACTCTGCGAAAAAGACCTGGTATATTCACCCTATCCATGCCCCTCGTGGCTTCATAAACTTCTCCAAGATCACCCCTCAGCCTCCGATGCGAGGGAAAACAAAAAAAGAGCTCCAGTCTATTCAGAGATAGTAGGAACTGCAGATGCTGGAGAATCTGAGGTAACAAAGTGTAGAGCTGGATGAACACAGCAGGCCAAGCAGCATCATAGGAGCAGGAAGGCTGACGTTTCGGGCCTAGACCCTTCATCAGAAATAGGGGAGGGGAAGGGGGTTCTGAAATAAATAGGGAGAGAGGGGGAGGCGGATAGAAGATGGATAGAGGAGAAGATAGGTGGAGAGGAGACAGACAGGTCAAAGAGGCAGGGATGGAGCCAGTAAAGGTGAGTGTAGGTGGAGAGGTAGGGAGGAGATAGGTCAGTCCGGGGAGGACGGGCAGGTCAAGGGGGCGGGATTAGGTTAGTAGGTAGGAGATGGGGGTGGGGCTTGAGGTGGGAGGAGGGGATAGGTGGGAGGAAGGACAGGTTAGGGAAGCGGGGATGAGCTGGGCTGGTTTTGGGATGCGGTAGGGGGAGAGGAGATTTTGAAACTTGTGAAATCCACATTGATACCATTGGGCTGCAGGGTTCCCAAGCGGAATATGAGTTGCTGTTCCTGCAACCTTCCGGTGGCATCGTTGTGGCACTGCAGGAGGCCCAGGATGGACATGTTGTCTGAGGAATGGGAGGGGGAGTTAAAATGGTTCGCGACTGGGAGGTGCAGTTGTTTATTGCGAACCGAGCTAGGTGTTCTGCAAAGCGGTCCCCGAGCCTCCACTTGGTTTCCCCGATGTAGAGGCGGCCACAACGGGTACAGCGGATGCAGTATACCACATTAGCAGATGTGCAGGTGAACATCTGCTTGATGTGGAAAGTCTCCTTGGGGCCTGGGATGGGGGTGAGGGAGTTGGTGTGGGGGCAGGTGTAGCACTTGCTGCGGTTGCAGGGAAAAGTGCTGGGTGTGGTGGGGCTGGACGGGAGCGTGGAGCGGACAAGGGAGTCACGGAGAGAGTTGTCCCTCCGGAAAGCAGATAAGGGTGGGGAGGGAAAAATGCTTTTGGTGGTGGGGTCGGATTGCAGATGGCGGAAGTGTCGGAGGATGATGCCTCTCTCCAGTCTATTCAGCCTCTCCCTTTAGCTCAAACTCTCCAATCCCAACAACATCCTCCTTTTATGAAATCTTTCAAGTTCAACATCTCTCCTACTGCAGGGAGACCAGAATTGAATGCAGTATTCGAAAAGGGCCTCAACAATGTCCTGTACAGCCACAACATTATGTCACAACTCCTATAATCAACACACTGACCAATGAAAGCAAGTTTCCTGAATTCCGTCTTCACCACCCTGTCTACCTGCAACTCCACTTGGAAGGAACTATGCACTTGTACCCCACGTCTCTTTGTTTGGCAACACTGCCCAGGGCTCTACCATTAACAGTACAAGTCCTGCCCTGGTTAGCCTTACATGCCTGAACATTAAGCTGAGTTCCATGTAATATGGCTAACTCAAGACTATTTATGTACTAAAATGCAAAAAGTACATGCTCCCAAAGTTTGGTTACTAAGGTAAGGTCAGATTTTGGCTGCATGCACCAATTCCTTTGACCTTCTGTAATAATAGATGTTTCTGGGAACATTTAATTGGAGTGGTCTCATACAGATTCACATATCCTGACGGAAACCCCAGAAGCTATATGTACAACTGCAGCTGAGTCTTAGATAAAAAGGTGTAGAGCTGGATGAACACAGCAGGCCAAGCAGCATCAGAGGAGCAGGAAGGCTGACATTTCGGGCCTAGACCCTTCTTCAGAAATCTACTATCTCTGCAGCTGAATCTTGCTTCTTTCAACTTTGGAAAGTAGTAAAATAAATAGAATGTACATGGGCAGAGCTCAAATTTGTTCAGCACCTTTTAATGGCTGGATTTTATTGGATTCATTAAGTTAATAAAATGTCTATCTTCTGCAAGGAAGATCAGAAATTCCTGGACCAAAATATGTTAAAAGATCTTCAGAGGCACTGATGAGTCAACTGTGTATTGTAGATTGATCCAAAAGGGCTCAAATTTTCCAAGGTGTGGTCATCACAGGAGTCCGGTCCTGGCATAGAGATTATCAGGTCCCCCAGGTGTGCAAAGGATCCGAGAGGAGCAGTTGAGGTTTTGATAGTTGCGTATAGGATCATTGTAATAAATACTAATGAGTTATAACGATGTTTTTAATATTTTAACTTTTCCTAAGTAACTACCTTCTTAATTTCAGTGGAACCCTCCGAATTCTCCAACCTAAGTGGATACTTGCAGGAGTGTTCCAAGCACCGAGATACAGCCCAGCAGAAAATTCCATTTCCCAGGGCATTCCTACAGATTGTGGTGCGATAGAGATTCCACACAGGGACCCCATACACAACTTCCAGCTATCCTGGAAAAATAATTATCTGGTCATCTGAAAATCCGAGCCAAAATACCACAAAGCAGAGCTGATTTAAAAAAGTGCAGTGACAATTTAATTCTTTTTTGTTCTTTAAAGTGTAGAAAAATCTACGAGTGTACTTCAGACATCTAATCAAACAAAAATAGACACGGAGCCTGAGAAGGAATTATTAGGATGAGCAGAGAAAAATTTGAGTGAAGAGATGAATTTTGAAGAGGTCATTATAAATGAGAGGCAAATGAAATAGAGGAATTTCAGTGAATTTCAGAGCAAGAGACCCAATTCGTAAAAGACAGCCCAAAGCTAAACTAAAATATGCATAAAGGCATATTCAACACTGTAGAGGACTTCTTTTCCTAGGCTGTTGCTCTCAATCTTTTTGTGCTCTATTTGAGGAAAAGTCATATGCTTAAAACATGTTTCAAACTTTCAACCAGAAAGGAAGGGGAATGGGTGTCTAAACACGTTAACAGCCTGCTTTCAGAGGAATGCAAAGTGCAACTGGAGATTTTAAGTTTCTCAACATGACTTCTCACTAATTAAAAGAGAAATTCTCATCAAGTAAGCTGGAGGACAAAGGGTGAAGTGGAAACTCAAACAAGTTAAGAATGAAGCAAAATCCTGAGGAAGATTCAATTTAATTTATACAAGTTTTTTGAATGAGCAACAATATTGTTGAAAGGAAGCTCTGGGAAATTGAGAATGTCCATCCACTCAGCATTCACTAGGATAGTGCAAGTCCTTCTTGAATTTATTGCATTTTGGCAAAATTCAGTTTAACAGCCAAGGCCTGGAAGGATTGAATTTATTATCCCTCCTTTAGCCTCACTGCATTCATAAAATGATTAGGATTAGCTGTTTTAGTTTGACAAACGACTGACCAAAACAAACTCAGTTCATCAATGATGGAAAGATTAGAAGATGGCGTGATAGTATTGTAGTACATGATCAGCAAGTTCAGAGATCCTGCCACAAACCTAAAATTTTTTCATGACCACAGAGAGGTTGAAGTTTTTTTGAATTATCTCAACAGAACAATTCACCCACTTCTGGGGCTCGTATCATTTAGAATTGTTGCTGACTCAGGTTTGCTCACAGTCATAGCACAAGTCCTGGATGGTGCTCATAATCACTAAACCTTGCTGTTTCTGCCGAGGATAATGCAATTAGTTAGTATTGATTCATTTTAGTAACTTTTGCCCTCCTGATTAGTTCCAGAACAAGGCTCACAAGATTGTACACTTCAATGATGCTGAAGGGATTTCAGCCAAGGGATAACTTCAGTCGGTGCTGTTTCTTTAAGGAGTTGACATAAATGATAAAAATCATTAAACTTTAAACACAAAACAAAGTATAATCCGATGAATGATTAAATCCGAACACACTGATACAGTCAGTCATTCTTGTATCTAAACATTACAGGTAACATCTTGGAAAAAATATGTAAAAAGCCACCAAGAAGACCAAATGGTAAAGGTTTACTGGTAATTTGGCATGGTCTTGTCAGATGTTTTAATCAACCGTCTATTAATTAAAGGAGAAAGAGCAGCAACTATGTTTCCATGTTAAAGTATATATATACACACACACACACACACATACACATTAGTTGAAGACAGATACGGACTGACCTCAAAAAGGATAATGTTCCCCTCCTGAGCCATAACGCTTGCTTTTGTTGGCATGTTTATTTTCAGAAGGGCAATGAGAAAGCTAACAAGCATTTGTATTTAAAAAATTGGGGAGAATGTAGGGAATTAAGTAACTAAATGTATAGACTCAAATGAAACATTAGTGCTCAAGTATTCATAAGAGTTGTGTACAATCTGCTAGTTACAAGAACTTTCCAAAATGAGAGCGATTTCTGTTTCTTACTTATTCAAAAGATGGTATTGGAGACTTCAACAGAGATGAACTGGAGAATTCTTCCACATCAAACTGAAGTACAGGTAACTTTGGAGTAAAATCAACTTAGTTTATCATTTGTTACATGATGCACCAATTGCACCAGGTAAAATAAATTCATGGGGCTAATACTACCTGTGCTGACCATGAATAAAATGATTATCTAGCACACTGCTTGTTTGGTTTCAAACCTTCAAGCAAGTTAAATGGAAACTTCTATGCATCTAAAAATCAGAAAATCTGTCAAACTCATGCAATAATTTCATGAAATAACAGTACTTACTATTATTTAGTGCCACAAGGTTATCTGTTCCTGGGTGAGGGAAGTTAAGGCCCAAGCGTCCTGCAACATGAAATACAGTCATTGAAAAATTTGCCAGCATATTCTCGACATATTTCCAACCTCAAGTAATTTAAACCATAATGGGTCTCACTACACAATGCAAAAAAAGTCAATCCAAGTTTGTAGAAAAAAATGAATTATCTTGAAACACATTCTGGAAAGCAATTGCTGCATTAGCCTAAATTGAAAGAACAGGTAGACATTTTAACACTTTTTTAAATTAAAATTTCATAGAGAAATTACTTGCCATTAATTACATGCCCCAAAAAGAGTCAATTTATGACCTGTCCACTGTTAAGATTAGATTTTTCAAATTGGAGGCAGCAAGGATATGAAGTGACATCACCTTAAATTATGTATTGCAGAACAATTACCTAAAATGTTTTGGTAAAGTACTTCCATCAACTGAATAGATCATTAATTTAGGATACAACATATTGATCACTCATTTGCTTTAAGAATGGTCAGAGCTAACTAGAATTGTCATAAAGCTAAAAAAAATCCCAAAATACATTTCATAAGTAAGTCCAAGACTCTAGAATGTCAAAAAGTCGTAAACACAACAAGACTTCAAATTTGAATCATGTGCAAAAGGATCAGTTATAAAATAGACACCAAATTGAGAGCATTTTCTTTTGCCTGCATTAAATTGAGAATGTTGAAAAATGTATTTTTAGATATCTTTAAGCGTAATTTAAAAGTAAGCTTCAGAGAGCCATAGTTGAGCTTGATGACTTGCTACTGTCATTAGAATGGCCAATATACTGAATAGTCCAAATGCTTAAAAAGGACAAAGTGCTGCAGAAACTCAGCAGATCTAGCAGTATCTGAAACAGATGAAACAGTGTTAATGTCTTAAATCCAGTGTGATTCCTCTTCAGAACTTGAAAGATAGAAAAGTGATGGGTTTACATCAAAAAAAGTCAGGGGAGCAAGTGAAACAGAAGGTCAACTAAAGTTAAGGGCAAGGGAGATTGACAATCACAGGTATTACACAACAGAAGGCAAAGGCAGTGGCAATTGAAAAGTGACAAAGCATAGCTCCAGCCCGTGTGTTAACAACAATATAGGTTAGCTCTGATGGAAAGCAAACTCATGAAGACAAGATACTGAAGGTAAAAAAAACTAAATTGGAGGACAGAATTTATGACTTATGTTGAATTAAGTATCAAGTCCATATGGCCATAAAGTGTCTAATTGGCAAATGAGGTGCTATATTCTTCCAGCTTGCATTGGGCTTCGTTGTAACACTGCAGTAGACCTAAGATAGAATGTGAGCTCAAGACTACAATACTTGACCTTAAGTGGCAAATGACTGGGATCATGCTTGCAGACTGAGTTGAGGTGTTCCACACAGGCACCCAGTCTGCAATTAGTCTCAGTGTTGCCGAGTTCACATTGTGAACAGTGAATACAGTCAATTGGATCGAAAGAAAAATCACTGCTTTGCCTGGAAGGAGTATCTGGGACCTTGGAATGTAAGGAGGGAGGAGATAAAAGAGCAAATGTTGCATTTCCTGCAATTGCACAGGAAGGTGGTGTAGACTGGGAATGTCGATGTTGGCGGTGATGGACGAGTGGATTAGGATACCATGAAGGGAACAGTCCCTTTGAAATGCTAACAAGGAAAAGTAGTGTTTGGTACCACTGGCTTCATGCTAGAGGGGGTGATCTAATTTGGGCTCATGGGGTAGAGAATGAAGATAAGGAGAACCCTACTGCAGTCTTGGTATGGAAGGAAAACAGTGTGGGCAAGTGCAGGAAATAGGTTGGACATGGTCAAGGGCCGTCTCCACCACAATGGAGGTGGGAGAGAGTTGAAACCTTTGTTGAGGAATAAAGAAGACACATCAGAACCTCGATTGTGGAAGGCCGCACCCTCAGAAGTTCAAAGAAGTTGGAGAAACTGGGAGAATGGAAGGCAGTACTTGTATGAAGCAGGGTGCAAAGAAGCATAGTCAAGGTCATTGTGGGAGTTAGGGCATTTATAATGAATATTCGAAAACAGCCCATCTCCAGCAAAGGAGACAGATGTCAAGGAAAGAAGGCAAGAGTCAGAAACTTCAGGTGAACAGAAGGAAAAAGAGTGATAAATGGAAGCAAAAGTGATGAATTTTGATTGTTCTAGACAAGAGTAGCAAATAGCACTAATACAGTCATTGATGTATTAGAGGAGGAAAAAAAAAAGGTTGTGGGAGGGAGGTCAAGGCAGACTGGAACAAGGATCATCTCTTATACTCTACAAAAACACAGGCATAACAACAGTCACTATGGGTGCCTATAGTCATATCTTTAGCTGGACTCATTTCCTCCAAAAGGAGAGATTGTTTAATAAAGAGAACAAGGTCAATTAAGTAGAGAAGGATGGTAGTGGATGGGAACTGTGAAATACACAGTCTTGTTTCAATGAGAAACGGACAGGCTTTGTCATCAGCATCATCACTGGCCTCACCAGCTTGCAGGCAAAAAAGTGTGCTTGGTAATTTTTTTTTGGCTAAAAGTATTTAATTCTCAGAGGATATAGGTTGTACATTGGTCTAAAAGCATCAGTACATTGTAGGATAGGACTGGAAATTTGTACAAATCCAGATAGTCAGGTAGTGAATGACTGAACCAGAGTTTAATCTTTCATACCCTAAGTACTTTCACGTACTATGATATGATTTACAAACATGTACTTCTAAACCCAATAACCAGTGTTTCAATCTACTGCAATATTAAAAATTGCAATTTCGACCAACCTGCTCATACATATTGTGTCATATCTTATTCCCCCTGTACATCAATGAATGCTTTGCTGCCACTACCTGTTCTTGTCTAGGACTGGCAAAAGTCATAACTTTGGCTTCCAATTTCCACTTTTCCCTCCTCTTCACTTGACCTTTTGTCGGAACTTTCTTTCTCACCTTGACAAGGAGGGATTTGAACCTGGAACTTCTGACCCAGAGGCAGGGTGCTACCCATGTGCCACAAGGTCCCCTACAAAAGCCAAATGCACCTGGTATTCCCAGGCAGTCTCCCATCCAAATAATAATCTGGCCAGAGTCCAATTAGCTTTTGGAGATTAAAATGTTTTTAATCAACCTGTTCAGACATGTCGTCGCACCCTAGAGGGCAGGGGAACTTGAACTCAGACCTTCTGGCTGGGTGTAGGAAAACTACAAAATGCATCACAAGGCCAGCTGCTCCTACAAACTGGATCATTTCCGTTGCTCATATGACACCCACTAACTAGTATTGCCAAACATATAACTTCTATACAATGTTTACTTGATGCACTTACAAGTTAAATGTGATTCATATCTCAGCTGCCTGACCACTAGAAATGATTTGTTTGATTATCCAAAGAATCTGCTTTAATAAATAAAAAGACTATAACATCTCCAAATTGTTTCTTTGAATGGTTATAATACAAGGTAGTTAATATAACATTCTTTCACAAATTTAAAAATCATTAAAACAGTGTCATGATTTGCACATCAATTCAAACAAATTTCTTACCATTTCTCCTCCTATACGTTATTCAACTCAATACAACTCGGGCAAAGTAATGCTTTAATATTAAAGTCACCAGTTATGAATGAATCAAACATCAACCGGGGCAATCCTTGCACAATGCATTAAAACCCAATTTGACTGCATTGAGTGGATCAATTTAACAACAGAAAAACAGTACTTGAAGACAAGATACTGAAACTCAGTCAAAGCCTCGTTAAAACATAGCAGGCATTTTAAATTGTTCAGCATAGTAAAAAGCCACAAAGTTCCATCACAAAAAAAAAGTGCTCAAAATAGGTCAGGAGGGAAGACATCATCTGCAGGGAGAGAAATGTTTCAGATTGTTGGCCTTTCATTGGTGCCAGAAAATCTCTCAATCTTCACACTTGTTGAGTTGAAATTATTTTAGACATCTGTGTTCTAACCCAGTCACCCACAATGTTTTTGCTACAGTACCCCATTTATTAAAAACAAAGCACAGAACCTTGTAATGCAAGTTCATTTTCCTATCAAGAAATTAGCTTTTGTATTAAACATCCATATTTATTACTTTTGTGTTACATGTAGTGAAACCAGATACCGGCCCTATCACTTTGTAGAAACTAACATCAAAAACTTATGCAGAATTCCCACAACAGAAAACCAGATTGGTACATCACGACAAACGTCAACTTTCACAACTGTCACATGTAATCAGATTAAACCGAGGCTTGAACCAAGAGCATAATGGATGGTATTGAGCAGCTCAATCAGTTGATTAAGCACCTCAGTCATGTGCAGCACCGTAAATAACTCCCAAGAACGAACCAGATTCAACATGAAGCCAGTGGAAAATTTGGTGATTCGCTGTGGCACTAATTCCATTGGCTGGTCACTCTGCTTACCAAATTTCAACACAGCAGGCAAGAGTCCTGGCAAAATCATATGGCCTGCAGAGAAATGTGGTGCCAAATATCAGCAACAGTTCTGGGGAGGAATGGGGACTGGCTCGCTTACCCTCTAACAGCACCACCAAATGACACATTTTCTTTCCACTTCTGTCAAATTTCTGTATGTAAAATGCTCAGTTAACAAAATAAGCTGCATGTGCATGCCAAGATTGGAAAAGTAAAGGTCTCACTGCATAATTAGATTTTTAAAAATTTTATGCTTGAAAGATACTAATTGGGTTGACACATTAGGGTTCTTCAAGAGAATTTCAGAGGGGTATGAACCCCAATGGACAGCCCCCAGTTTAAAATCACCACATCTTTTTTATTTATTGTCCTATTCTCTTGTAGTGATAGTTCAGAGATAAAAACTTGATTTACCATGTGGTTCATTTTCTAGGGACACTAACTGCTGTCATGACAAGTAGAGAAAAATAGAGAAAGACTGATGATACAGCCCCGACCATCTCTAAACTTCACAATTGCATTCTCCTGCAAAAGAGACTAATATCTCAACTCACTCATATGCTTCATTCACTTGGACCTTAAAATCTTGTATCAAAGCCTACAGAT